GCTATGAGTCGCAGGTGACTCGACAGCACATAACAACAACATGTATTCTAGCCAGTCTCTGGGCAAGTTTTTCCATCTTTCTGTAAATACTTACCTTGAGAGAATGTTACTCTGGGGAACTAGCGCAACAGCATGTGAGGCTTGAGTAAGTGTAGCCTCCACAGGACTTCTCCACAATTCTTAGCTCAAAACTCTGACCATCTAGCAGGCTTGCCAGGCTATAAAATAGCACACAAAGAGGTTGCCCATCTTTCTGCCAGGAGTGACTGATGGGTTTGAGTTACTTTTGCTCCTAAAAGCATGGTTTTCTACGGTCTAGCCATATTTAAGCTGGTTTGGTATTCCAGACGAATAAAATTGACTAGGAAATGATAATTTTGCATTAGTCACAACAAAAGTTATTTTTGTTGAATTACATTTAGAAATATTTATATAAGTTCATTTTAATTCTTTTTGGCACTAATTGTTCTTTGAAGATTTGTTGTCCGTTGCTGTGAAATTAGTTTATCATACTCCTCCTCTCTGCAGAAGATGGGTTATTGTGTACTATTGAGTTGAAACTGACCCATAGCTGACCCTCCAGTGGGTTTTCAGAAGCAGTATATCTCTTGGGAGGGGATCATCCATCCTTCTCTCTTGGAGCTGCTAATGGATTCAAACCACAAGCCTTTGGGATTTCAGTGTAATTTCTCTCTGCAGTGGATGGGAGTCTCACCTTATTAAACTAATTTGCCTAGTGGTGAGATGCTGTGCTGCAATCCCAAAGGCATCAGGTTCTAATCCACCAGCTGCTCTAAGGGAGAAGGGTGAGCAATCTCCTCCCTTGCTAAATTTATTGCCTCTGAAAACCTGCTAGAGGATAGCTATGGGTCAGTTCCTACTGGATGGCACACAACAGCAAAGCAACAAGGAAGATCCACGTAGTTCCGGAACATTCATTTCATGTGAATGCCAAGGTTTAAGATATTTACTCCCAATCTTCTATCATAGGAGAGTAAGGACTTGAAAGTCCCAGTTAGAAGGCATCATTTCACAAATGAAGATAATATTATTTTGCAGTTTTATGTACAAATAGTTTATTTCTTAAGAAAAGTGGCTGTATTGATAGTCTAACTTGTATAACTTGCATTTCATAATGAATTACTACTTTTCAGGTTATAACTCGAAGATAAGAAAATGACTAGGGCAAAATTTTTATTTCATACATGTTTTTTTAAAAAAAATATTTTCCCAAAACTTATGAATGAGAGCAAAGGAATGAAGTGAAGTGCAGTGTTAATATTGTAACCATAATAAAATGATGCATACCTTTAGATATGTGAGCTAATGAAGCAGAAAGAAAAAAGAACCATTTGGCATTAAAATAGGCAGGCTACATTACATTTTAATTTTTGTTCGATAATCATCAAAACTTCCTTTTCTTTTTATAGTTGTGCCCTATCCAGTTGATTTAAAAAGAAAACAAACCACACTTGGAGACTTTTAATCACTAATATTTTAAAATTTCAATTACATGCTTCTGTAAAGAAGAGAGGTAAATCAAACACTAAGCATTAAAAAATTGTATTACTATATTAGGGCAAAATTCTAAAGTGGAATGAATATTTGAGCTCAAGACAAAAAGAGTTATCTAAGTTTTTCCTCGCGCTTGATTTTGATAATGTTCTTTAGAAATTCATTGTGGTATTGATATTCCAACAGATCCTTTTAGATATTGATGTGACAAAATGTTTTTAAAATATTAACTTGTCTTGGAATTTGCATTCGTGCAACTATGATAATGAAAATGTTCTAGACGTCAACTTTAAAACATGCGAGGCTTTGAAAATATTTGTAAGAAAAGGAAAATAGGGGGGAGGGGAGTCGCCGTGACTGTAGCAGAGGACGCTTGTGTGACGTTTCTGACGCAGATCTCCTCGCTTTACTTGCCCCAGCAACCCCAGTCTGGGCAAGCGACTGGACTTCTTTGGTGGGGTGACTTGCTAAAAAAGATCAATATTTATTTATTTATTTCGATTCAAAGTCTATTTCTTGTCTAACATGATGATACTAGCTTTCACTAACAAATGCTCAAAATAAGTCAAGTAACTGTCAAGAACCACCTATGAGCACTACCACCACTACTACCTCCCCTCCTTTTTTTGAAACAAAGCCAACCAAAGAAAAAGATAAGCAATGCCATTTTCCTGCCAAAGCGCTTTCCTCAAACCAAGATGACTCCCAATATAAATGCCATGAATTCAGAGAAGAGAAACGTTTATTGAATTCAGTGTTACTAGGGCTTGACATAAAATCTGTTTCTGAAAACCAGCCAATGAAAATCTCATGAATGACAATGGTTCAATTATTGTTGTGAATGGGGGTCGCCTTGCGGGGAGGGAAAAAAGGGAGGTGACTGGATAGCAACTCAAGTAATAGAATGGCTGAAGTGGAGGTGGGAGGGATTCACATTTGTTGGGAAATGGGGTCATTACTTTCTCTTGATTCAACCTTGATTTGAAAATGGCTTAACACTTCTCCTTCCACAACATAACTAAGGGTTAAATATACATACAGTAGGAATCAGATTCCGATTACGTTGAGCTTTCACAGCGCAGAGTGGAAGGGCGACGTTGTGGTTTCTCGCTGCATTTCAAACTGATTCAGCCCCTCTGTTCTCGCAGTGGACGTTAGCCGATGAGAATAAAAATGTCTGATCCAGACAAGCCTGCAGAGCCTGGAGCCACCGCCGGGGCAGCGCCTGATGAAAGCCTGGTGGCCAGTACTTGCCCGGTCTCTGCTCACGGGTGGCACAAGGTCTTCCTGGAGGTGACCCACGCCCCGTCACCACACAAAGCACGCCACACGCAGACTTCCACAACCCTAGATCAAGTCCACGCACGTTAAGTCCCAGAGCAACATGCTCAAGATATGCAAAGGATATTTGGTTTTAAATCCTCTTACTTTTTAATCTAGTGGTGTATTTTTAATAAAGCTGAACAAGAGCAGTTAGAACTTTGGTCACCTACAATACACAGAACAACCACTTTACTCCACATTTTTTCTAGATTTTTCTAATTAACAGTTTTACATTCTCATAGTCTGTCCCCAATCCCCCCATTGCAACTCACATACATGAGACTGGACACCACACAGACTAAACAAGTAATCACTAGGGCAGAAGATGGCACAGAGTTACACATAAAGCTTTCCTTAACGTGTTCAAAACCCTTTCTTGATCATGTGGGTGGCTCTGAAAAGAGCCTTTGGGTTCTGTTGCGTAGCTGCGGTGGAAGCGCCTCACTTGGAGCTGGTGTACTTGGTCACCGCCTTGGTGCCCTCGGACACGGCGTGCTTGGCCAGCTCCCCGGGCAGCAGCAGGCGCACGGCCGTCTGCACCTCCCGGGACGTGATGGTCGAGCGCTTGTTGTAGTGCGCCAGGCGGGAGGCCTCGCTGGCGATGCGCTCGAAGATGTCGTTGACGAAGGAGTTCATGATGCCCATGGCCTTGGACGAGATGCCAGTGTCCGGGTGCACCTGCTTCAGCACCTTGTACACGTAAATGGAGTAGCTCTCCTTGCGGCTGCGTTTGCGCTTCTTGCCATCTTTCTTCTGGGCTTTGGTGACAGCTTTTTTTGAACCTTTTTTAGGCGCAGGGGCTGATTTGGAAGGATCAGGCATGTTGGCTGGTCTCTCCAAACAAGAAAATGCCTCGCGTTCGAAAGAGGCTATTTGTACTCCTTGTATTCAAATGAAGGATTAAGAGTTTCTAATATCTGATAGGATAAAACGTTGTATTACGTCATCGATGGGCAGGCATATGCAGATTAGGGGATGCGAGTTTTCCTTTTATCATTGGCTTCAGTTTCTACCCAATCGAATGCTGCCGCTTGGACTACCTCCTGACCATATATAATGACTCGTTGTGCTTTGCAGATAGTATTGCGAAGTCCGCTGCTCACCTACGTTATTACTTCGCTTCTGAGTCGGAGATGTCCGGACGAGGAAAACAAGGCGGCAAAGCGCGCTCAAAAGCGAAATCTCGTTCCTCTCGGGCGGGCCTGCAGTTCCCGGTAGGCCGTGTTCACCGCCTCCTCCGCAAAGGCAATTACTCGGAGCGCGTCGGAGCCGGCGCCCCCGTGTATCTGGCGGCCGTGCTCGAGTACCTGACCGCCGAGATCCTGGAGCTGGCGGGCAACGCGGCCCGCGACAACAAGAAGACACGCATCATCCCGCGCCACCTGCAGCTGGCCATCCGCAACGACGAGGAGCTCAACAAGCTGCTGGGCCGCGTCACCATCGCGCAGGGCGGTGTCCTGCCCAACATCCAGGCGGTTCTGCTGCCCAAGAAGACCGAGAGCCACCACAAGGCCAAGGGCAAGTGAGGCCTGGAAGAAGCTCAACCCCTCTACTGTTCCAGACTAGTCTTTAGAAATCAAAGGCTCTTTTCAGAGCCACCCACTGTTTCAAGAGAAGGGCGCACTAAGCATAGTCTTCTATTCGCTAAGGACTGATGTTAGTATTTTAAAGCTGACAATGGTATGTAACGGTTTAAACCTAAACCTGGGGCCTGATCAGCTGCTTGAGACGCATAATGACTCTGTGCCATTTGTAACAGGGAAATGGTGCCTAAAATATGCTCCCTACCCCTGTGTCCCAGCCATATAAACCGCACATGTGAAACACTGCCTATGCAAAAAAAAAACCCCCCACAACCTTGATATTGAATGAGAATGGATTTAGATGTGGATATTAAGCAGGAATTTTCATTGCTGGCAAATTGGTTCTGACTCCGCTGATCTAATACTGGGTTTCCAAGGGACCACAGGAGATTGCTCATCTTTCTCCCACGGAGTGGCTGGGGTTCTAACCGGCAGTGAGAGGCTCTACTTCTGGGTAAGCAGCATAACTCCTTATGGACTACGCCACCAGAGGACCCTGTATTTTATAGGAATACTCCGGTAGGTTAAATTCTTTTAAAGAAAAAATTTATCATTTGAGATTTTTATAAAGTGCTTGAATGAGTCGACACTGCCAGGTTCTAAGAACAAGAAATTCACCAGTTAATTTAACTATTTGAAATTCTAAGATCTTGAGGATAATAAGCTTGCTACGGGCACTTTTCATGTTTAAAAGAATTAAATTACTGCAATTTAAAAGGTGTTGATTTTGCAGATCATTTAATAGTAAAAACACTCATTATTTGAAAATGTTTACTCTGGTGGTGTGGTTTAGTAAGAAACCCAATATGGGGCCAGCTTTGAGTATGTTTGGACCAGAAAGCAAAGGGATTGTTTTGTTTTAGATTCAAACAAAGAATCACTTAAATTGATTGCTAACATATATAAGCATAGAGAATAAAATAATTGGATTTGATACACATTAGATTTGTTAATTTAGTCAAACTGAGTATTTTTAAAATCACCTATACCTATATTTTTATGAAGATGACTTTGTGAACTCCACATTCTTCTGTAAAACTCAACTCATTGTTGACCCTTGGGTTTCCAAGGCTGTAAATCACAGAGAAGGCGGTGTCCTTTCTCCTCTGGAGATGCTGGTGAATTTGAATGAATGACCAATGGCCTTTGAATTGATTAGCAGCTCAGAGTTCCTTTTTTTCAACAAAGGAGGCTTGGAAGGTAACAGAGAGGCTCCTGAAAAAATCAACCCTTCTTCATGGACGGTAAATGGACTAATCAATGATAATCGATAATCCCTTTTAAAAATTACTAGCACATCACAGGAGTTTGGTAAATGTTTATCATTGTTCCTAATATTATGATCCATCCTGTTTTGACTAATGTTTTTAAATGATGAGAATATGCACACCAAAAATACACACTAATTAAACAATTTCTGTGTATATAACACAATGACTTTATATTCTTCAAACTGTACAGCTGTTCCTTTGCTCCTAGTCTGTATGTGTCTCTCCCTCTGTGTGTGCATGTGTGTGTAAATGCAAACTTGTCTATTTTAGTTCAGTTTATGGAATAAAACCATCAGGTTTTCAAGTCCATTAATATTTACAGAAGGAGTCTGCCTTTCTTTCTCCCAAAGAGCCACTGGTGGATTTGAACTGCTAACCTTTTGATTAGTATTTAGCCCACCTTATGCCACCAGGACTATATCTCTATCTATATATTTATTAGATAATTTATTCTATTACATTTGAGTCAATCGAAACCAGGGCTTTCTATATATCGCCTGGAGCTAGTTATAAATCTACTAGTCTCTATAAAGTATCCTAACCCTTAAAAGTATTTATAACAAAAATTGATAAGCAACAGTTATGGATTGTGTATGTAGATAGTTTGACAACCCTAGTCAATTAGGTAGTTTCAGCAAAATACATCACAAGCATCTGTTCAAAAGAGTATATAACCTGCATATTTATCAGTAATACTTCCAGTAATAAAGCCTTCGGTTATAGTTTAATTTCTCTATATAGTCTTTATACTGTTTCAAAGCCTTCATAGTATTTAAGAAGAAAGTTTAATATCTTTTTTTCTTTTTCCAGGGTGAAGGAGCCTAGGCATTCTAGATTTCCAGTATTTTATTCCATTTCCTCAAATTTGTGTGTTAATAGGTGGAAGAGTAAGAAGAGCTCCTCACAGGGGTAGAACATCATACGTATCACCATTAAGGCTAACCTGTCCAAAACCATTTATCTACTTAATTTTAAACTAGTAAAAATGAAACGCAGTTTAAAATATAATTTTTATAAGTTTCCCTAGTGTTCTTCTCCATCACCTTTGCATCAGAGAGCTGGACAATGAATAAGACAATGAATGGACAATGACAGAATTGATGCCTTTGAGTTGTGGTGTTGGAGAAGAGTACTGAATATCCATCCAAAAGAACAAACAGATACACCTTGGAAAATGGGAAGCCAGAGTGCTCCTTGGCGGCAAACATGGCAAAGCTTCTTCTTTATTACTTTGGAAATGTAGCTAGGCAAGGCTATTCCTTGGAAAAGGACATCATACTTGGAAAGACTGAGGGTTGGTAGAGGCGAAGAAGAACCCAATGAGATGGATTGACCTTCCAGAGAGTTTTCAGGGGAAGTAGATTGCACTGGAGGAGATTGCTCCTCTTTCTCCCATGGAGCAGTTGCTGGATTCAGATCTCTTGCTTTGGGTTTGACAGCGCAATTCGTTATCACTTAGTCATCAGAGCTCCTAGATAGCATGTTGTTGTTAGGTACCATCAAGTCGAGTAGTACTCAGCAACCCTATCAATAACCAATCTGAATACTATCCTCTTCTGTGTGTTCCTCACAATCTCTGACACACTCAAGCCTATTGCTGCAGTTACTGTGTCAGCCCACCTGGTTGAGGGAACTATATGGGATACATATGGAATGTTTCCATAATTGCAGAAACTTCTTGGGACAGTTCTGGTATAAGGACTGATAAATAAGGAGGTATCTATCAAGTTCAGAAATTAGATAAATCACCTACAGTTCTCCATTTCTTCAAGAGAAAGCCTAATACACAGATCCATATAAAGAAGACTAGAGAGCATTATGTTGAGTGAACTAACTCAATTTCTTAAGGAAAAATACTACATAATACTATAATTGTAAGAATAGATAACTAGTAAAATGTATGGAGGTTCAAAGGGGGAAAGGATGGGAGCAGAGGGGTAATGGTGGACAGGAGGGAAATCACAGGGTTGCACAAATTGGTGGGTGGAGGGAGGGAGTAAAGAAATGGGAAAGATTTGGCAGAGATCTGAAAATACTGGGTAATGGAGGGCATAGTTCAATGGTGATAGATTATATAAAACACAGTGTATGAAAAAACAACAAAGACCCACAGTGTATGGGAATGATTGTATGAAACGCAATGTGAATGAAGGAAAGTGAACCACAATGTATACGAATTTTGTATGCAAACCAATATAAAATAAAAATGTTAAAAATATAAAAAGAGGCTCTCTAGAATGGTAACCACTGTTCATATGTGATTGTTGTAATTTTTCTTTCACCCATATACCCCTGATACTTGAAAGCAAAGATGTAGATACTTGTGTACCAATATTCATAGTAGCACTATTCACAATTTTAAAAAGGCGGAATCAACTTAGTGTCCATCAACAGAAGAATGAATAAACAAAAGATATCTATCTAAACAATGGACTATGATTGTTATGTACTGTCAGGTCAGAACTGACCCTTCAGCAGGTTTTCAGACTAAATACACAGTAAATTTTCCATCTACTTGCCCCGGGTCAGCTAGTGGACTCAAACTGAGTGCCTTTGGGTTGGCAGGTCAACTCCTTATGATTAAGCCACCAGAGCTTGCTAATGGACTATTCCTCAGTCATAAAAAGGAACAATGTTTTGACTTAATCAACAGCATAAACAAATCTCGAAAAGATTATACTGAATGAAAGAAGCCATACATGAGAGGTTGCGCATGGTATCACTTCACTTATATCTATCTACCCAAAACAAGTGAAAAACTAAATGCAGACTAGTGGTTTCCAGGTGTGAGGGTAGAGGGACATGGAGAATATTTGTTAAATGGGTATGGAATTTGCTTTTTAGGTGATAAAAAGGTTTTGGAACTAGTTAGAGGTGGTGGCTGCTCAATATAATGAATGTGATATGTACTAATTCTTCATTTTTAAAATTACTAATTTGTTCTGTGACTTTCACCTAAAAAAACTGAACCTTACAAATCGAA